GTTATTCAAAATTATTTTCACTTAAGAAAATATTAAAACAAACAACTAAAAAAATTGATTGGGAATGGAAAAAAATATTTTTTTAATTTCAAAAAGTTATTTTGGCATAAGTCATAAAGAAATTTTAGATACTTTTGCAATTATACTTAAAAAATATCAGTTTTTGATTCACAAGCCAGATTAGTCAAAAGCCGTGACAAACTGCTTTTAAATTTGCAAACTGACTTATCATTATTATGAGTTATTTTTTTCCTCCTAAAACCAAACTCGGTGTAAAATAAAGTTGATGGTTGAACAAAGAGGTTCACATGATTGAACAAGTTCAGTTATGCGCCAGGATGATACGCTGTTTGAATTTATATTATACTGAATTATATATGAATTGTGAATAAAGTGACTTGCCAATGCTGAGATTTCTTGCAATGCATGCAAAAGCCCACCATCTAGTGTTGATGTACAAAAACTAATAAGCACTTCATTTCCGAATGAGAATTGGGTTTAGCAGAAAAAGTTAATCTCCTGTAACATAACAAAATAAGATTTAAATTCTCGTTGAGAAAAATGTTAATCTTTAACACCTGATAATGCAGAATTGCTTCGTTATCTATGCTCATAAGAAAAAAGCACATAATCCTAAATGAATAATGCCTGGGCTTCTGAGTGAAGTTGTTAGTGAATTTTAAAAATCACTAATCAAATTAATCATTATGATATTTACATACTCCTCCTGTCTTTAATATAAGACCCATTTAACTAATTTGATTACATTAGAAAATTTAGGTAAGTTAGTTAATTATAAGAAATGTGACACGTTTTTCCTAAAATATCATAATTATCTTTCTTAATACCCTATATTCCTCTTTTACTTGATTATGGTTGAAGAAGTATCTATAAAGGTAATTTAGAGAAAATTAATAAATATGAGAAATGGGTCTTATATGTAGAATCAAAACCAACTCAACAATTGGGTCCTATATTAAGGACCGGAGGAGCATACTAAATTAATTCTCTCAACAATTTGCGTATAATGGACAACTGTTGGCGATTCAAACTTGAAAGAAGTTGAGATGGCATTCCCAGGCGATAGCGAGTCCCACATTGGAAATTTACAAAGAAGAGCCAGCTACAGGAGGCTATATGAAGGCGCCTTCTGTGCACTTTAATTTTACGGAGCCGTGCAATGGGCACAGAGCGAACTATTCTTTCGCCTTTTACTAAAGAATACCGTGTGCTCGTTGCATAAAGCGGCATACGCCTATTTTTGGAGAGAGGTTTTGTGTTTAAAACCTCTCGCAATTCTCTGTTTCAAAGTTTTTCTTCTACTTCTGTCAGAGTTTTATGGTTTGTTTGATATTGTTTTTGATTTTTATGTTCTTGTAATATCTCCATAGAGTGATTTTTAAATTAAGTTTAGAAAACAAAAAAATTAAGGACTTTGTGTAAATCATTATTTTTGAAAAGGGTTACTATCATGTTTATTTTTTTAAATTTGATATCATTTTGGTTTTAGTTTTAGCTTCTAAAATGATTTTTAAAATTTAACTTCATTTTGAAAATTAAAATTACTGGTTTAAACTTAAGTTAAATTTGAGGATCAAAATTACTGATTCAAAAGTGGATAGATTTTGAAGAGAAAACATGTTTTCTAAATTTTTTTTTGGCTTTAAAAGAGTCCTAGGGCTTGCATGTTTTCTTCTTAAAGCCTATTACCTTGTTACTTTTCTATATGCGTATTATTATCATTGTAAAATTAATCACATTATTTTATACTATTTCTAATACTTAATATAAGAGTTGGTTAATTAGTTGGATTTAATCTTAAATATAAGATTTTAATCAATTTTACTTCCAAATTTTTAATGTTTTGCGTAAAATATCCCTATTAGTTGTAATAGTTTTTGCCAAAAAAATATTTCTAATACACATAATTAAAATTAAAAGGACCAAAATTATAGAGACCAAAATTGAAATAGAGACAAACTATAATGACCAAACATTACATTAACCCAATTTTCCATTTTCTATAAAAAAAAATAATGGAAAATCACGTTGTCTACTACCCATAAGAAATGCAGTTCATCTGGGCACCCGTTTGGTGCGCAGGAATTGGAGCCATGACAATGGAAAATTGGAATTGAAATTGAATTCCATATTGTCTAATCCATGGAACTCACAAGATTGGTAACACACATTTGTTACTTGTTGTCAAAATTGATTCTGTTGAAGTGTTCTTGGGACATGTAAATGATTTCCGATTTCTCCTGAATTATATTCAAATGAAACAATTTTATTATTCTTCATTAATAAGCCAGATGGGAATGTCACGTCGAGATGTCGTTCAATTTACAGAATTGTACTGTTAGGATGTTTTCTTTTTTCTATTGGTAGATCTTACTTCTCATGGCACTAATAAAAAACAAATCTACTACTTATACTTTTTAATATAAAAGTTAGTTTAATGTTTAATTTGATTCTAAATATAAGATCCTAATAAGATCCTAATCTATTTTATCTATTATATTTATCTATTTTTTAAAGTAGTTATTGTAGTAGTTGCGTATGTTAAATATTTCATCACGTGACAGTTCTACCTAATACACATGATTAGCAAAGGTATTCTACGAAAGATAACACCTATTTGTTACAAATAATTAACTTAATAAATTTTTTAAATTTACTCAAATTAGTTAACTGATTCTTGTATTAAAAATTAGAGGTAGTATTTGATTACAGAGATGACTAGAAGGGTATTAATGTCTTTTGGAATCTTAAGTTCAGCATTTTATCATTAAAATAGTCATGCCAAACAAAAATTATCTTTAGGATACCAATGATTTTTCTTGACACACCACACGCACCTTTGAAACCTAATTCAATTTCCTTTCTTAATTACTATCCCTGATCCTTAATATAAGATCCAATTAACTAATTTAAAGAGATTAAGAAAACTGTCAAAATTATTTTAAAATACATATATTTATTATTTTTTTATAAACTAATTTGGTTAACTCATAAACTGATATTAATTTAATGATACACATAAGTATTTTTAAGAAAATCATGTAATATATACTATAATTAAATAATCTTTTCATTTCTTTAATCTCCCCAGATTAGTCCTAAGACCTAGAGGCTAGAGGTAGTATTTACATTCCTCATTCCCTTTCTTGCTTTCATTTCAATTTTTTTGTTTTTAAAAAAAAAACTTCCCAACATACTAAATAGGGGGCCTTTGTTGCTTTCATATTGTATGTATATTTAGATATTGTAGTTTCTTAATTTTAAATCTGGTTAACGCTTATAAGAAAACCATGAAATTTGCTGAAATCTAAAGCAAGCAAACAAAAATTGTGATAAACTGACTAATTAGAAGTTCTAAACAAAGTACAAATAGCCCACACATAACTCTTTGCAACATCGTTATTAATATACCAATTGTGCCCAGTAATTTTTCAAAATGGCTTCTACAAAATCTTTCTATCTTGTGCCTTTTCTGGTTATCATGTTATCATCAGACCTCAGGTATGCTTCAGAATAGTCAAGGCAATCCCAAAAGTTAGGCGAGTGCAGGAAAACGCGTCTCAAGCTCATCATGATATCAATTGTGACCTTAATACAGAGTTGGAGCTTCTAAGTTCTAACTGTGATGCGATAACTATGGATATGACGCCAGAAAAAGACAGTTTTATTGTTCTGCATGTTTTAAATTATAATACTCCTCTTATCTTTGATATAAGACCTATTTAACTAATTTGATTAGAATAAAAAGGTTAGGTAAGTTAATTAATTTAAGAAATATGACATGTTTTTCCTAAAAACACTAATCATTTTCTTTAACATCTTCCTTCCTTCTTTTACTTGATTATGGTTGAAGGAGTATTCATAAGAATAATTTAGAAAAAATTAGTAAATATGAGAAATATTTAAAACTAAAATCATTTCAATAATTAGGTCTTCTATTAAGGACGGGAGAAGTATTTCATGTTGTTTAACACTAGACTTAAGTTTTTAAACCATAACTAAACAAACAAACAAAAAGAAGTTATTATTCTCAAGTGTTATACTACCTCCGGTCCTTAATATAAGATTTTGTTTGACTTTTATTTTGGTCCTAAATATAATATTCTAGTATACTTTATCTCTTATATTTATCCATTTTTTTTTCTAAGGTAGTCCTTTATTAATGGTAGTTTTAGATAACAAATTTGATTAGTAAGGATATTTTAAGAAAAACAACACATATTCATTACAAATAACTAACTTAACTAAGTTTTTTAATCTCTCCAAATTAGTCACCAAATTAGTCAACTGAGTCTTATAATTAGGACTGGAGGTAGTATATATCAAATGTCTCATGATATATATCAAGTGACATATAAATTATCTACTGAGAAATAAGTCATATTATTGAAGACTCGCAAATAATATTGACTTATGTCGATATTTTATATTTCAGGTAACATTGATGTAGTTGAAGGAAAACAATTCCGTGAGGATGGTCACGCTCCTGAATGCAGGAACGGTGAATGTGTTAAATGCCAAAAAAAATTGCTACGGAAAAGAATGCAAAATGCTGTTATATGATATCAACTAAATTTTTATGTTGTCATTAAAATCAGACTCAACTTATAAACTATTTCAAAGTAAGGTTTTTTTTGCTTTTAATTCATCGAGTTTGAGACTTTGACTCTATTTAGATGAAATCAAGTTTTTCCTACACAGTTCAATATAGTCTTTCATCACTTTCTCTCTTGAAGTAAGAAACTACTTGTTGGTGAACGATCTGTAAATATCTTTATGATAAATATCTTTATAAATACTCTCTGAATTTGGAAGCATGTCCTAATCTATTTGTTGGATCTTTTGTTATACATTTAATTATTGGACAAATCTCATGTCAAGTCACTTAGATTCACAGATATAACAAGAAAGCAACAAAAAATCTTTTTTTTTTTCTAGGCACAAAGGATGTTATCATTGTTATGCATAAAATTACTTTGTTAAAAATAATAAGCTCAGCAAATTCATTAACAAAGAGGGTTAACCAAATTGTTAGGAGCAAAGAAGGAAGAGTTGGAGGACATCAGGGAAAACTATATTAACAAAATAACATTTCATCAGTGTCAGCTATATAATATATATTACTACTTACAATGTGGTTCTAGTCAAGCAACTCTCAAAAACATCAACCAAATATAATTATCTAACTATTACTCTCATTACTATTTACAACGCATTGATCTACTCCATCTTGACGAATTGTGCCTCTGGACATTTCTTCTATAATATCAACCTTCTGGGGATTTAGCTTTTGATACTGCTTCTGCTACTGTTACTGCTATCTCGGTTTCTCTAGGCTTCTCTCGAAGCAATGGCGTGTTCGAAGGTTCTCCGGCAAATACTACATTCTCGCTATCCTCATTAAATTTATCTTCACTACGTAAGAATATTCCTGCCGGGACAAAACACGGATCATGCTCTTAACAGTATAGCATGCAAAAGTAAAACAAGATCATGGCCTTCAAGATTTTTCATGTTTGATGCAGTAATAGGTACTTGTCATTGAAATGATACAATCAAACGTGGCATAGAAGTTATTTCATGTTCAACAATTCCTTTGCATAGTTTCTGGTGAAAAAAACACATGGTAAGTTAACATGTGACTTACCGATGAACCAGAATGCAGCTGCTGGAAAAAATACAGCAGTTAGAAGCAGAGCAGTTGTTCTCCAGTTATTGATATGATCCTGTAATCCCAGCAGGTAAGGTATGAAACACTAACATTACAATACTTCTTGACCTCAAACTTTAAACGAAGTTCATTTAATCAGAGGATATTGTTTACTTAGTTGGGAGGTTATTTAGTTACTTAGAAATATCAAACTGAAAGATATTTAGAAGAGGTCCTCGTAATAAAAGATTGAAGGGAGCATCTCCAGAACCATATGTAACCAATAACCACTAGGTTAGAAGCTACAGCTAGGAGTCAGGGCACAACTCTATTTTTCCAAACCTTCCTCAAGAACTGCACTAATTGCTACCCGGTCTTAAATATAAGGCCCATTTTGTAGTGTAATTTACATTACAAAATGAGTTTTATATTTAGGACTCGAGAAGTACTTCAAATGACAACTAAGATGTTGGCCAAACTTTTTCCAACCATCTTTTTGGTCTTGACAACCTCTTTGCTGTTAACAGCCAAGAAACAAGTGATTTTAACTGTTCAGATAGCATATGGAAGGTCCAGATTCCATCCAAGCTTTTTTATTTTAACTAGGGGTCATCTAGGGAGTAAAGAGGAAGGTGAAGGTGGCAATTAAGGTTCAAATCCTCATGATATAACTGATAAATAAATAAATGAATGAGTAAGTAAATAATAAATAAATAATATAAACTGACCTGGACGACTCCAACAATGGGTGAGGAAGGCACATCTCCAAAGACATGGATGGCGACGGTTGAAATAGCCATTGATAAGGGCCTCAAACTTGGTTCAACAGAACGCAGACAAACATAATTTACAGGACCCTGAGAATAAGTCATAAGTAATTAAATTTTGAGAAAAATAAGTCTCTGGCTTCTAACTTTTTCACTTGTATTTTAGCAAATTAATTCTAACAACAATCACACGAAATCTCAGCAAGATATAAAAACTGGAGAAATTAGTACTGTAGAAATTTTCGTCTAGCTAAGACATGATATAAAAACTCAAACCCACTAGAGATTTTTCTTCCAAGCATAATATTATGATATATAAAGAAGAAAGATAATATGCAGATTAATTTAGGATATATAAAGAGAAAATATACTATGCATTTTAATAGATTAGATTCCAATTCAATTTGCATCATTCAAAGATGATGCTACGTAAACGCACCTACACATAATTATTGCTAAGCGTTTGTTATGAAGGAAACCTAACTCTTGGAAACTTGTTCATTAGCTTTTGGGAGATTTAATATACAAGAAAAATACATCACCACCCCTACATTAAAGCTATTCCTCACAAAGAGAAGAATATTACCTGAGTGGCAAAGACCAGAATTTCACCAACAGCAAAAAGAGCAAGGAAGCCATATATGCTTTTAAATAAGAATGCACCAAAGCAAAAAGTTGCACCGATAAATGTTGTCATTGCAAGAAGCTGCGAGAGATTTCAAAGCGATATTGAGAACAGAGAAATGGAATATAAGCAATATGTCAGGTGGAAATTAGGTATGGCTGTTCATGCATAGACGAAAAAGGAAAAATCTTAGGTTGGCCAAAAAAAAAAAAGGGAAAAAAGCTCAGATGCAGTTATTAGGTGTTTGACGTTACTTATCAGGTTTTTCTAACAAGCTTGAACTTGTTATTGACATGTTTGTGTACGTGTATGTGTTTAAATTATATAAAATTAAAGGGGGAAAAAAAGTTCTTTCAACAAAAGTTCTTTCTCAATAGCCTGACGGGGAAGAATACTGCAGTCAGAAACTTGTAAACAAGTACAAAGTTAGTCTCTCTACGAACAAAGAAGTTCCTACCTTAAATGCATTTGACAAGGTATTCGTCAGGAAATCCAAAAGAAAGCCACCTGCTAATGTGCCCAGTATTCCACATACAATTGTAATTCCTCCAAATATCATATCTGCATTGGTCTGTCATAAGAACCTGACTTTAATATACTGTAATGTTCCTATGCTTTACTTGGAATTATCTTAATCTACAGGGGATATCTCTCACATTATGCAAATAAAAAGGCATAAAAGAAAGAAGGACAAAATTTGTTAGAATCATATGCACAAATAATCATTAGAAGAGACAAAGCTAACCATATTATATATATTATAACCAGCTTTGGGCCCCCAATATGAGTAAGCACCTATGACAAAGTTGTACGCTATGTAACCTACAAAGAGGAAATGCCAGTAAAAGGATATTAAATGAATTGACAAGGTAAAAAAAAGTAACTTCTAAAGATTAAATTCATATGGAAGACAGATATAAATTGAATTCATAGGGAAGATGTTCTGATATGACTATGCCAACAAAACAAAGAGAGCACGATGAAAGCATCTGAAGCATAGAGGAGACCAGAAGGGGAAAAAATTACCTAAAACATTGATGACATAAACCTTGTTGAGCAAAAGGACTTTCATATCTTCCAAGAAAATCAACAATTGATTTGATTTCCTGGATGCAGCTCTGGATCTACAATAAAAGAGAAATACCAAAATAACAATGTGCACATCAACCACTATATGATGATGGATATCAGACAAAGACATTCAAAGATGCCATATGTTAATGAAAATGAAGTTATTCGAGAAGAACATTGGGTTAATTGTCTTCAGCTTTAAGGAAAGATTTCTAGCCATAATGCCAAGATGTATCATCGGTATTCGATAAAAGCAAATCTTTTTGTAAAGGCATTCCCATTAACTATGTAATTAAATAAAACATAGTATAAATTTAGTACAAGTGTCCTTACTTGGAAGCCTCATGTGAGCTACTGTTTCTGAACAAGGCCCTCAACGACATTGAGTTACCTGCAGCTTCCGTACCTTAACAACAAGAAAGTGAATTTTGTTAGGGCCAAATTGATGGAGAGATTTAGTGTATCTGAAATCAACTGATAAAAACAAGACCTACTCCAGCTAAATGGAACATTTCTGGTTATTAGGTAGAAATTCAGAGTGATTTATTTAGTCCTGAAGATAAAAGGACAGTTCTTTATACTAAACTGGGAAGTGGAAACAACCCAATCAGAACTCTAAACAAAAACATTTCACTATCTTTTCATTATGCAGAAAAACTTCTTCCCACCACCACTTGTGTTAAAGCAGGGACAAAAAGAGAGAGAAGAAAATTAGTCTAAATATAGCAAAACTCTAAGGGAGAAAGGTGAAACTTGAGAAGCATAAATTTTACCGAAACAGATCATTAACCAAAAAACCTACTAAGAGTTTAAGGTTTTTGTGTAAATATAGATTTAAAAACAAAAAATTAAGACCATATTGAGGTTGGAGATAACTCCGCCTATGTTGTATAGCCGGTCCCAAGCCCGGATAAAGGAGGAGGGTTGTGTTAGGCCCTCGACAGCCAACGTAAAAACCCGTCGAATCTCATGAACATGGATCAACGAAGTAATTATGCTAATGCTAGGTCGTTGCCCAGATGTGACGCGCTGTATGGCTCGAGTACAGTGAGAAATGAGCTAGAGCCGCTGCATCGTCGCCCGGATGTAGTGTTAAATGAGCAAGGGCTACCGCACTCTCTTGGACGGAGGCGGCTAAAGAAGTTAGTTCATGAGACTGAGATTAGATTTGGCACTTGGAATATTGGGACGTTAAATGAGAAATCTATGGAAGTAGCAGGAGTTATGAGGGACAGAAGGATTAATATCTTATGCCTCCAAGAAACCAAATGGACTGGAGAAGCTGCCAAGGAACTTGGAGAGTATAAACTTTGGTACACAGGAAAGGTGAGCACAAGGAATGGGGTTGGTATCATCGCTGATGGGACATGGAAAAAGAACGTGGTAGAGGTTAAAAGGTTTGAGGACAGAATAATATCGTTAAGAGTAATTGTTGGAAAGGATACTATCAATATCATTAGTGCCTATGCACCTCAGGTTGGGGCAGAGACACACCTTAAAGATAAGTTTTGGGAAGATATGGAGGGCTTGGTTCAAAGCATACCACTCGAAGAAAAAATTTTTATCGGTGGGGACCTTAATGGACATGTTGGTAAAGAAGCAGGACAATTCAGCGGGGCCCATGGTGGTTTTGGTTTTGGGGAGCTTAATAGTGGAGGACAATCTATTCTCGATTTTTCTCTTGCATACGATCTTAAGATTGTCAACACTTGTTTTAAGAAGCGAGAGGAGCATTTAATCACGTACAAAAGTGGTGTCTCAAAATCACAGATTGATTTCTTTTTGGTTAAGAATCCGGACAGAAGATTGTGTACTAATTGCAAAGTGATTCCAGGAGACGGGGTGAGTGCCCAACATAGAGTACTTATCCTTGATGTATGTTTTAAGAGTACCAGGCAAAAGTACCATCAAGTGGCAAAACCCAGGATTAAGTGGTGGCAGTTAAAAGGAGAGAAGCGGGAGTTATTCAAAAGGACTCTTTTGAAGGAAGGGAATTGGGAGTTGCAGGGAAATGCAAACATGATGTGGGAAGAGATAGCTACAAGGGTTCGTTTGGTAGCTAAAGCAATTTTGGGAGAATCCAAAGGTCCTGGTCAAAGAGATAAGGAGACTTGGTGGTGGAATAAGAGTGTGCAAGAGAAAGTCAAACAGAAAAAAGTTTGTTTTAAGGCCATACACTTGTGCAATAGTGTAGAGAACCAGGAAAAGTATCAGTTGGCTAAAAAAGAGACAAAGAGAGCAGTGAGCGAAGCACGTACTAAAGCTTATGAAGGGTTTTATCAGGAGTTAGGAACAAAGATGGGAGAAAGAAATATTTACAAGATCGCGAAGCAAAGGGAGAGGAAAAAGAGAGATCTGGACCAAGTAAAGTGTATAAAGGATGAAGATGGTAAAGTGTTAGTTACTGATGGTGATATTAAGGACAGATGGGAGGCTTACTTTTACAAGTTGTTTAATGAGGGAAGCAATTATGCGACTCAGGACTTGCAGGACTTGCTAATTAACGAAGATGATCGGAATTTGGCTTTCTACCGCAGGATACGTATCGGAGAGGTTAAGGCGGCTCTCAAGAAAATGGACAATGGAAAAGCCGTTGGGCCTGATGGTATCCCTATTGAAGTTTGGAAATGTTTGGGCGATGAGGGGGAGGTATGGCTAACCAAGCTTTTTAATGAAATTCTACGCTCTAAAAATATGCCGGATGAGTGGAGGAAAAGCATTTTAGTTCCTATTTACAAGAATAAAGGAGACATTCAAAACTGTGCAAGCTACAGGGGGATAAAACTTATGAGTCATACAATGAAGTTGTGGGAAAAAGTGATGGAATATAGATTGAGGTTGGAGACTTCTATTTCGGAAAACCAATTTGGATTTATGCCAGGGAGATCCACATCGGAAGCAATCTATTTACTAAGGGGGTTAATGGAGAGATATAGAAGTAAAAGAAGAGATTTACATATGGTTTTTATTGACCTGGAAAAGGCTTATGATCGTGTGCCAAGAGAAGTATTGTGGAAGGCTTTGGAAAAGAAAGGTGTACGGGTTGCGTATATCAAAGTCATACAAGATATGTATGAGGCGGTAACTACCAGTGTAAGGACGCCTGGGGGGGAGACAAAGGACTTCCCTATTAAGATTGGCCTACATCAGGGATCCTCTCTGAGTCCGTACTTGTTCAACATTGTTCTGGATGTTCTAACTAAACCTGTTCAAGAAAGAATCCCTAAGTCCATGCTCTTCGCGGATGATATAGTTCTTATGGCGGAATCAAAAGAAGAGATTAACACTAGTTTGGAGTTATGGAGAAGGACTTTGGAGTCGAAAGGTTTCCGTTTGAGCAGGAACAAAACAGAATATATGCATTGTGATTTTGGCGGGAGGCAAGGTAATAGGGATTTGGAGGTGAGGATGGGAGAGCAAATTATTCCTCAAGTATCAAAGTTTAAATACCTAGGATCCATTATACAGGAGGATGGAGAAATTGATGGAGACATTTCTCATAGAATACAAGCTGGCTGGTTAAAGTGGAGGAAAGCTACCGGAGTTATTTGCGATAAGAAGGTACCTGAGAAACTTAAAGGAAAATTTTATCGGACTGCTATAAGACCAGCTATGATTTATGATAGTGAATGTTGGGCAATAAAGGGAAAACAAGAGCACAAAGTCGGAGTAGCAGAAATGAGGATGTTGAGATGGATGTGTGGTCATACAAGAAAAGATAGGATTCGAAATGAAAGATCAGGACAAGAGTCGGTGTGGCACCTATCCAAGAGAAAATGGTTGAAAATCGCTTAAGATGGTTTGGACATGTGCAGAGAAGGCCTTTGGAGGCCCCGGTGAGGAGGGTGGATCAAACAAGATGGAGTCCCATAAAGAGGCAGGGGAAGACCGAGAAGAACGTTGAATGAGGTCATTGAACGAGACCTCCTAATTAACAACATATCTAAGGATTGGGTTGTTGACAGAGCACGATGGCGTCGTGTGATTCATGTAGCCGACCCCACCTAGTGGGATAAGGCTCGTTGTTTGTTATTGAGGTTGGAGATGAATGTAGAGCAGCATGCGATGACTCACAAGTCCAAGACAAGAAGGCAACGAAGCATCAAGTATCATCCAAAAGCTGACAGTGTTCATGAATATGCTAGACATCTCTCGTATGGCATAGGGAACACTAATTTTTTTAAGTTGTCCTCGTAAATATCTAGGCCATTCATTGTACAAATCTACGTAGGATTAATCTCAAGAACGGTTGCAGACCATTGGATAATTGATCTCCAACATCCACTGAGGTGGGAATGTTCTGAAGCGTGGTAATACCTCCGTCCTCCTCATTTGTAATCAATCAATCCATGTGTTAATGCAAGTCAAATTCGCTCAAACTCTCAACTACTTTCCCTTGTTCTATCATCTTGCCCATGCTTAAGGGTTAGGATGACTTATCAGAGATTGAGAGGGCTGATCAAAGCTAAGATCGACATTGTTACTGATTAGGTTAAGTTCCAAGACTCTGACAAAGACCGTTAGGTGTCCTATAAATCAAGAGATAAACATCATCAGAAGAGCTGTCTAATACGCATGGATATCTCAAAAGAGACTTCAGCTTAAAAAATCCAAAAAACAGAGAGAGCATATTCTGCAGATCATGAGCTGGTAATGTACTATGGTCAATATTTTCAAATTATTAACAAATGCTGAAAAGAAAAACTTGCATCAATATACTTGCTGTAAATCCGCAGAAAAAATGTAAATGGTGGGTGATAAAGGATGATCTTCTCAATAATAAGACGGGACTGTGGTACTTTAACAGACAAGCAAGTTACTGCATGCATAAATCATATGCCTTAAAACTTGTTATAAAGCACCTTGAACCTCTGATGCAACTGTCTCACTTGCCAGCATCATTTTCAATTCAGCAGGAGCAAAACCTGGGTGCACATTACCATTACTTACAAAGGAAAACAAGAAGGAAAAAAAAAAAAGCAATAATCAAATGATCGTAAGAAATCAATGATGGCCAGATGCACACCTTTCAAATGCAGAGGCTTCACTGTATATCCGAAAATAACAAATGGAAGCATCAATACAGACTCCACCCAGAATGCATAACGCCAACCAAAATGACTTCCAACCTGCTCCACATCATATCAGAGCGAACAATTTGAGAGAGGAAAGAAAGGGCACAAGATGCACATAAATGTGGATTATATAAACAGAAGGAGTCCTTATAGCTAATAAATATATGAAAACCAGAGGAAAACTTACAAAGCCACCATAGACATAGCCAACTGCAAATCCCGATGGTATACACATGTAAAATATTGCGAGCCATGCTGTTTTCTGGTGAAGCATGGCAGTTTCATAATAAGCATAACAAACAATGGAGAATAAATATCTGAAACAAGGGGATGCTTCCATGGGAGAAAATAAACCTGAGAAGCTGGGGCAACATCATCAATGAAAGGTGCTGCAAGACTTATAAATGAAGCCTCACCAACGCCAACCAGCCTATGGAGAATAGCAAAAGCATAAGGAACTAAAAAGCCAAGTCTTTATATCCACTCTCTTATTACTCATGTGGTTGATAAGCATATGGCATGTATGGGATATACATCACTTACATGCGACAGACTGAAATGGACCAGAAATTAAATGAGAAACCACAGCATAATGTTGCAAGAGTCCAGACAGACAATCCAACTCCAATGAGCCTAAATGGATTGACACTACAAAATACAGAAATTGTGTAAGAGATAATCTGCAATTATGCATATATGTTAATAACGCCAGCTTAAGATCACATATAGGTATGTGCTTCACTCACTAAACAGATAAAAACAAGCTTTTTTCTGTTTGATAATGTTCAATACTCTAAATACTGGACAGTCAATTTAATGGATTAAATGTCAAATGCATGGTCATTTAGCCTTCACTAGCAACACTTTTTGATTTATGCTATAAAAATTTTAAACATAAATAGATTCATAGAGATTGAGTTATAGAACACTAAGAGGATAACCTCAACTAAATTTGTCAAAGATGCCATGATTAGTGTCAGTCTAAAAGAGCGGTATGCTTTTGGAAGCTTTGTTCATTGATGAATTATCTTCTAAATCATTAAGAGGTTCAATACTTGAACAAATAACGCTAAAGCACCCACTTTGTCTAAAGGAAGACGCATAAGCATATAAATACAAGAAGATTGAATAAAAATTATTAAAACAATTTAAACTCAAATTGCAACATAGATATGCATCAAATGAGTTAACATCAAATGAAGAAGCTATATAACAGAAAAATAGCCAGCATCAAATGGTTGAATCTGAAACAGATAGAGCATGAAGATGGATGGCTGGGTAAGAAATAAATTCCCTGTTTAAAGTCTATGATTAGCTTTGATTGGCATAATGACAAAGGATCTAGTGACATCGATCAAAGAGGAAATGATGGCTTCATCAAAAAGTAAAAGTAGCCATAACATAATTGATTTTCAGTACGTGGCATTTCTTGGGATATTGGACACCGTACACCCTTAGTGTTCCAATCATTTGTAAATTTCTATAATGTGTTTTGTCTATGTTGATGTGGAAATAAATAATTTCAAAAGATTGTCTTACTTTCTTACTATATGTCTTCCCACATTTCCCTGACATCAAAAAATATTGATACAATATAAGTCAATCTTGAACCAGTCTCTCATACACCATAGCAAGAATAGGTCACCTACTATACCACAAAGACCTATTACCTCTTTGTTAGAGATGCAAATATTGGAGATGCCACAAGAAGTCCAACCATGAAAGCAGATGATAAAACTCCATCCTCAAAATTGCTTAGTTTGAAATCCCCCCTGCAAGGAAGGATAAACTATAATGTCAAAAAGAAAAACCTGTAGAACTAATAAATCTGGTACTATAAATTATAGCTCCAAACTCATGGAAAACTTCAATAACTTTTTTACATCAAAAGCCCATACTTGCAACAGGGACAGTTATCTCACAGATAAAAGAACTAAATTACAGTATCGTGTACATTGGCAGTTAATGCTTCTCAATGAACTTTGACAAGCATGAAGAACAATGGGATAAAACTAGTACACTAGCCTGATTAGCATTAGCTTTTCTGTTCCTATTAGGACAAGGTTTGGTTAGTATATTCCAGGTGGGGCTCAAGTATTTGAGTTCTCCAAAAATCAGGAATAAGTTAGTTTCCATTTTATATTCATTTTAATAAGAATTATTCCTCCCACCTAGTCTGACTTCTGTTATGAATCTCACATTGGGAAATCTCACAAGTGTTGTGGGGTTTATAAGTTCAAGGGGTTCTCCCTCCTAATAGGCTAGTCTTTTGGGATTGGGCTCTCCCCTTAGGCTTATACTTATCACATTGGTGCTTTCATTGAGAGTCGGCCAACTGAAAAGGGCTACCTGCGGAGGGTTCTGACCAGTAAGAAGACCGAGTGAAGTGCTGTAGAGTAGAGCCGCCGAGGACGTCAGCTCTCGAGAGGGGTGCTCTGTTATGAGTCCTACATTGGGAAATCTCACAAATGTTGTGGGGTTTATAAGTTCAAAGGGTTCTCCCTCCTAATAGGCTAGTCTTTTGGGATTGAGCTCTCCCTTTAGGCCTGTGCTCATCACAACTTCCTATCCCTCTAACCCCTCCTTGATCGATTTCTCTTTCCTCTTTTCTTCTTAATTCTGTTCTTGTTCTAGGACAAGTTTCATATGAAACTAATGAAAGCATTTCGTTCCACATCAAAAATTCTTGTAAAAGACCCTCACAAGGATACAGAACAATGGTAGCGTGCATGACATAAGCACAACGAATATAGCAATTAAAGATGAAAGGCATGAGAAATTTAACCATCTAAGATTCTAAGCATATCTTACTGTATTCCAATGCTGGGCTTACAGGTACCATTTGTGCAAGTTGCCCGGCGTCCATTAACACCATTGCTAGCTATAGCCCCTCGATCCAAATAGTTCAACAAGTTTATCACACAAAAGATAACAAGTAATCTGCAAAACAAGAGGAAAGACCTTTTAAATTCAATCATAAAGTTTGAAAAAACTTAACCTTTCTAGTTGAAAGCAATAAAAAATTATTTAAATCATTTTCAACAGAATTTGAAAGAAGAACAAGATGGTAGCTGTGTTAGCAAATTTCATGTAAGCTGGAATCAAATGAAGTTGCTTCTTCAATTTGTATATTGAAATGGCCATCATACTATTACTAACAACAGTTCAGAGCAGAGGTCAGCCCATATGATGAAAGCAACTAAGCAATACCTCTCTACTGAGAAAACAGCATGATGCATTAAAAATAATAATTAATTACAAAAAATATTTCTTTTTTTCTTTCATTTTATTTTCTTCCGAGCACCAATGAAGGGAAACTTCAAAACGACGGTTTAGAAACTGAGGTCAACCATTGGTTTTATGATTAATTTCTTATCCCAATTAGCTGCAAAACTCGGAGAAAAATAAAATACCATATCTGCATATCGGTATCTGCAAGCAAAATAAAAAATCATTTCACGCTTCCTTTCTGTAGCAATACCAAAACATCTAAACTCTTTAACTCACTAAAACAGAGGTAAAGAGAATTTCCGCTAAAAAAGACACACACTCACGCATAAACTCACTTACATAAAACAATTAAATTTCAAGAAAAAACAAAAAAAAAAAATACATAATGCACTACACCAAAATCAAAATTTGTTGTCCACAAGTAAATAACAAAAATTCAATTAAAATTTAACAAAAAAAACCCAGAATCTAGTTCACACACCCACACTGTTGGAGAACAGATCTAGGGACAGTGCAGAATTACCTCTTAGGAGTAAACCATGAAGGTGTGGGGCTAATGGTTGAACCTATAACCATCTCTGCTTCAACGGGAGACTTCATCTCAGGGGATAGCTTCGGCTTTTCTTCTTCTTTCCCAATGGATGCCATTACAGTCTACAGTTTGAAGCAATTGGGAAGGAACTCACTCCAATGATTGATACAGGGAGGGGGGGGGGAGAGAGAGAGAGAGAGAGGCCTAGCTCATCCTCCAAAGACAGTAGGCTCTGCTTTCTAACTTTTTCCACTCGTCACCTTTGTTGTTCAAAGAAAGATTTTTGTGGCTTTCTTTCGTGTCTCCTCTTTTGCTTTATTTTACTTTCTCTTGCTTTTCCCTCAAATAGTTTTCTTCCCAACAGGAACAATGAAACTCTTCTTTTTCCAGAATGAGTTCTGGCTTGCTGGCCAAAAGGAAAAAAAATTAAAAAAAAAAAAAAGAGTCTTTGGTGTCACTGTCACTGTGAGGTGTCCGTCTCTGTATTTTCTTTGACTTTCGTCTTTTAATGGAGAATCACAAAGTACAAACACTTGATGCTTTTTTTTTTTCTTTGCAATTTTTTCTCGGTGAGAGGATCTGAAAATTAAAATAGATGTTCATGGCGTGGCATGAAACCTTCCAGTCTCACTTTATGCTGAATGTGTATATATTTTTAATGAATTAATTATGAAGAAAAAAATACAAATAAAGTAAAATTTTCGAACCATGAATGTTTATTTTATTTTTTGATAGCTATTTTATTCAGCGAAAAATTTGATGCAGACATGTCAGTGAATATATTTAGATACTGTCTAAACTTCTCTTCTATTTTTAACCATTAAACAAAACTATAGTTCATAATATTAGCTATAAAATATTAATTAATATAATTATTTCAATATTTGTTATTAAAATTTCACTGATTAAAAACGGTAGATTATAGTAGTATTAAAATAGAAAAAATGACAAATAAAGAAATTGGAAAAAGTGATATTCTAAATCAAGCACTTAAGAATTGAAAATGACATAAAAGAAAGTGGTGTCTGATCTGGTATTTTGTAAATGTAGTTAAACGACTAAAATGTTCTTATGTTAAAAAGTTTATTAACAAGTTCTGAATTGACAATAACAAGTCTTGAACAGCAAATGACAAGAACTATATTGGTAATGGCAAGTTATTTATTAACAAGTTATGAACTAGCAATAACAAGTGTTAAACAGCGAGTGATAAAAAATATATTAACAATGACAAGTTTGATAGTTTTTTTTTTTCAAATATGATACAAGAGTACTTTAGTCATTTAATAAAATTTGCAAATATCAGATCAGGCACCACTTCCTTCTCTATTATTTTCAACTCTTAGATGTCTGAATTGAGAAATTTTCCCTATAAAAAATAAAGATTATCTGTCATGATTTATTTACTATTCATTCATCAGTATCAGTATCAATAGAAAACAAATTCAACTATATGTGCCTATTCATTATTTATATTTATGTTGATTGATACAAATATAAAATAAAATAGAATATTTATTTGTTTTTGGGGGAAATTATAAAGAGGTCTCAAATGAAAGGTTAACTATTAATATATCCTAAGAAAAGCAGTTGGAAAATCTACCATTAAAATTCAGGCAAAAGAATCTACCATTAAAATATTTATTATCCAAATGTGCCTTAAATTTGTTTAAGGACTCAAGCCAGTGCAACTCTATTAAAGTTATGTGCAAATACTTTTCATTTTGTGCCTAAAATAAGGCATGCGCAGTTCTTTCGTCTTTTGCATAATGTTTGCAACATATTACTTACATATAACTTATTTTTGACTATATACAAAAGTTTTCAAAACAAAAAATATTTGAATATAACTTGAATATATGTTGTGTGCAGCTGAAAAAGAATTGTATCCATTAAACATGAGCTGCACTTGCTCAATGACTAACCTTTAAACAAATTTCAAGTACCTTTAAGTAATAAATAATTTAATGAGAGATTTTTCAGTAATTTTCCTTGCATCCTAACCATGGCAAAATTAAATACCACAAAATAGCGTATAAACACCATAGGTTAATAGTAAACAGGAGCTTTTAATAACTAAATCCCACTTCTATATTATTTTCCCTCTGTTGTGTGCAAAATTAATTAAAATTATATCATAATTTGTAACATATCAAAATTGATTTCATCCCCATAAAAGTTTGTATTAGAATCAAGTGCGATGTAAAACAAAGTTCTGTTTATTATTTATTATGCACACTTCTATCTAATCTTTATGATTATAATTATAATATAATGGTAAGTGGTTTGCGAACATTTTATTTTATTTTATTTGAAGCATCCCCGACAAGAACTCTTAAAAGTCTACATGGTTTCCATCCCAAGGAAAAAAGGGCAATAAGACTAGCTAAATTATACTATCAAACTAATAATAATATTATTATATTGGCATGAGCTGTCGAATAATTGCTTTTGAAAAAAGAAATTATAAGATGCATATACATTATTGGAATTTACTGTATAGAATTTAAAAAGTATGAGTTTCGATCTTTAATATAAAAAAAAGTAGTTGAGGATTAAATTTGACTTTAAATATAAAAAATCAATTTATTTTGTCTCAAAAATTTATGATTCATTATCTAAAATATTCTTATTGATGATCCACATTAAAGAGATTTTAATTCAGCAGTTATTATGATTAAAAGAATAGTTTAGATAGATTAATTTACATTCATTATAAATAATCAACTCTACTGACATTCTTAATCTGTTAAGTACTAACTCCAATTTTTAATATAAGAGTTAGTTGACTAATTTGAGTAGATTAAGATTATAAATAAATACCTTTTCTAATCATGTGTATTAACTAAAAGTCTAGAACTATCATTCGATGAAATATTTAAAAAGTGCAACTACTACAATAACTATCTTGGAAATAAATAAATAAATATGAGAGATAAAATGGATTAGAGTTTTCTATTTATATCCAAATTGAATGTCAAACTAGCTCTTATATTAAAGACAGGAGATAGTAGCTTTTATAAATTAAGAAATCCAGTGTATTATGGATTCGTGATTAGTAAAAATATATCTTAGTCATTCAATACAATCTTTGTCATCACCGTTTGAATACCAATTTAATTTGACAAACTAAATTTTTATTGAATGTTTGTTTAACTGCTTTTGCTAAACTTGATTTTGCTTCTCAAACTTTAGATTTTCCAATATAAATAAAATGTTAATTTTCTAAACAGTATTTTATAAAATAATCAACGTTGATTTCCCACATAGGCACTATAATAATTAGAAACACGTAAAAAATTTCTAAAATCTTTAGCTCCAATTTTTAATTAATCATTTATTTTCTTTCATTCTATGAAATTTGAACCATTGATCTAGATACGTTAAAAAAAAAATCTCTACAAATAAAGTCCTTTAGTTCATTTTATTTATTTTCACAACTATATTTCCTAATAAAACCTAGCTATATCTTTTTCCTCTCTAAATATTTAAAGATTTTACATAATTAACCAGCCACAATAATTACTCGATGATACCAGGGCTTTCCTATTTGTGGGCCTACATTCCCGCGAACTATACTAGTCGGCTGCTGTTAGCATCAGATACCGGTGGAAAAATTCAAAAAAAAAAAAAAGTAAATTGCATACTGCCACAAAACTTTAGCTAAGCATTTTCAACGTCGAAAACCTCAACTACAAGTGTTGTCCAAGTTAAAAGGATTTGAGCACTTTAAATATCATGTTCTAGGTTTGATCTTTGGAACAGTGTATATAAAAAAAACACTGTTGGGAAGAATTTCCGGTACGGTACCTAATAGTATCTGAGAAATTAGTTTCTTGAAAAATCAAATTAAATTAAACTACAGTAAAATAGTTTAGAAAAATGGGATATTATGTCCTTGCAATAAATTACCATAAAATATCATATACAAAGAGCATGCCAACCTATGCTCTCCGCCTCTCTCCATTCTCTAACCAAAAAGGGCTATGTCGTCTTTTTATAAGAGAACTAGAAATTTCTCCCTGTGCTATGTACGGACTAGTAGATTTGATTAGATTTATAGGGAATTTATGGGGAATAGATAAAAATTTGAATTAGAGATGCAGAATTTATGAAGAATAGATAAAACTTCGAAATTAATTATTTATTTCTCCATTTGAGCCTCCAATTGACATATCATTTAATTATGATATTCTTCATTTAATTTAATATATTCAAATCCCAATTAAGATTCTATTCAAGTTCAAAATTAATTATTAATTTCTTCATTTGAACCTCTATTTGAAATCGCATTTATTTATAATGTCTTCCATTTAATTTAATCTATTCAAATCTCAATCAAAGTGTTATTTAAATCTCATTAGTTGAATATATTTGGATCTCATAATTTCATACTCGATTCATTTTCAAACATATCGGGTATTCCAAGTTTTTAAAATATAATTGATGATTGATGATTAAGCAATACGCCCCTAGGAAAGAAAAGATTAATGTAAAAAAGGATTGAATCCCAAACTATCTTTCAACTTTCAGGCACAAATTCTTGAAATGCTCTAGAACATGATCAAATATTACCAAACTTAAAAAAACAATGAGTCCATTTCAGGACATAAATATAAAAAGTAACCACATATTGTCCCTTGCATTCATTAAAAATTTCTTTTTTTTCTTTTTTTACCACCTCCCATTAAATAGTATTTGTATTACTTTCTACATCACTTCCTCAATAGTTTAAAGAGAAATGCACATGGTACTTCTCTAAATAAATGCTTTAAATCCTTTCTCCTCTAACTTGGCCAATGAATTATTTGAGGATCCCCTTCAGCCAAACAACTTATTTCAAAGCCAAGTTGCCACATCACAATGTTAAGAACAAACGGTCAGCAGTTTCTGAATTAACCCTCAATAGGAAAACAAACAGCTAAAAGATTGCTTGTGATGCAATCATTTAGGTTATACAAAGCAATGTAATCAAAATAAATTAATTTCATCATTTTATATGACTATACAATATGTGGTTTTTGAAGAACTGAAATTGAAGTTGCAGTGCTCTAAAGATCCTGTCTTACAAGGTCTCTAGAACTCTCAAATTTCCTATACATATATGGACAGAGTCTGCAAGAAGAATTCAACACTAAGATAATGGGTTAGTGAAGTAAAATTACCGAGAAGAATCCCTAGAAGCATTAGGGTTCCTCAATGGGTTGATGGATCCACCAGACTCTTCTCTCCTACATCTTGAGAACTATTCATCATGTTTTCTTCAGTACCTTGCTCGCTATACAAAACGCCGTTTCCTTCTGAACTCACTGATTGATTGAGTTCATAATCCCCTTCGGAGTCTATTTCCGTCTGACTTCTAGATGTGGA